AAAAAGCTTGAAGGTTTTTCAGCCTTTACCCTGTGAGAGCATAAAAGCATGAGGATACAGGTGCAAAAGGAATTGTATCTCAGCAAGTGCAAAGAAAAGCAGTGGGTTACAGGTGCGCAAGGAATTGTATCTTAACAAGTGCAAAGAAAAGTTACTACTAAAACTTCCTCTAGTCCAAGTGAAATTTAGAATTCAATATAAAATAACACTTCCTGTGCAAGTACTAATGGGAAACATGATACGCTGCTTTTCTGGGCTGACAGAGCAGAAAAGAAACTTAGAGGACTTACTCTTGTTTTTTCTTAAAAGCTAAATTGGGAGAAGAAAGGGATAAATGTTGAATGTATCAACTGAGATATCTTGTAACCTATGAATGCAGCTCTATAGAACAAGATGCCTTTTTTTGCTTATCTCACACAAAAAGTTTAATATTTGCTCTCTTATTTCCTCAATAAGGGTGAGTGTTACAGCTTTAAAAGTTTCCGAATGAAATCATGTATTGGGTCTCTGTATCCTGTGGTCATCAGCTATAAGCCGCTACTCATGTTGGGGTCTGCCTACATTGTACTGATGCAGTTGGATTATAGCACCAGGTGGGAGGATCGGTTTTCACTGGGGGAAAGAAGAATGAACTCCTCTAATGCGCCAGTACAGTGGAGTGCTGAGCACAACTCAGTACCTGTCCTTTGAAGCTTTTTTCTTTCAGTGGTTAAACTCCCTGCTCAAATGCTTATGCTATACTTATCAAGAAAGCCACAGCTTTAAACAATTCTCTCATTTACAATACTTCTTCCTTGCCCTGCCCCTGCCACCAAGAGACTCGATTTCCAAGACACTATTTGAGAAAGGAAAGTTTTAGCAATAAGGCATATTTCATTATGGAGACACGTTAGGCTGTTTAGAAAATCACAGAACAAACATATTCTGGAACTTTTTCCAATGCTATGTTACTATTTTCTGATGGTTTCCCTTCAATTTATTGTGACTGTTGACATTAACAATGACTGCTAAACCTACAATTTGTGGAAAATAAAAAAAAATTATGCATGATTTTGTCAATTGATATTAAATGCTAAGTGAAGCTTTATACGAGCATTCTCTTGCTTATATTTTCAGTGCCCTGACTCATGTTACAACAAAGAAATTACTGTGGTTACTGTACTGAGTCAATACTGGAAAACTGTAAATTGTTAACATTAATTTGATCTGTTTTCACATATCAATTTGAAACAGAACAAGTGTAAACTATGTAGTTACAAAGTAAATATTTAATATTATGATTTTTTTCATACTGTAACACTTAACTATCCAGCTCTTTCTAGTAAAGTCAGAACTCTATTTACATTCCCATTTACTGAGATCTATCTGTACAAACTATATTGAAATACTAGCTCTAATGGTATAAATTCATGCAACTAAACTAGGAAATGCACAAAAATAGAACTGACCCTTGTGCTACCTTATCTCCTTTTTTAAAGTTACATGGTTTTACAGTAGCTTTTCTGCCTCTGCAAAAGTTTGGAAGGGCTCCTTCTCTTCCCAGAATCTAGAGTGGCAGCTGCAAGACAGTGAAGTCCCTTTCTGAATATTACTCTTGGTTGATTGCAAATGGCAAAAACACAACAAAAGGTGCATGTCCATCAGCTGCATGATTCTGCCACACTGCAGAGCAACATTAAGCAATGCCCCTTGGTCCTGAAAGAACAAAAAAAATAATGGTGGGAAAGGTGATGATGCTCTAAAATACCTTGTCTAGTTCTTATTGGAATTACTTGTCTAGTTCTTACTGGAATAATAAATACCTTGTCTAGTTCTTACTGGAAGAGGTGCTGCTGGCACAAGGAAAACCTTGTTTGATGTTCAAACACTTAATGCTTAAGACTTATTTTAATGACCTGCATGATACTAATGTTACCTGAACTGCACAGCAAGTTCATGTACCAAAAGATAGGATCTGTTAGAATTGGAAAGTTATCAGAATAAAAAGTGGAAATGTTGTAAGCCAGCAATTTCAATTTTGAGTGTTTGCTCAGTGGTCTCTGGTTTGCTCTTGGGTTTGTGGTTTTTTTTTAATTGCATGAGTGCAACATGGGCTAGATTTTGCTGAATCTCCCCATGTGTACAACTGAAGTCATTACTCAGATGTGGTTTTGATGGCTTCATAGGCAAATGCTACAAGAAATGAACTTTGCTGCTGAGAACCTCGATCAAAGATGATGAACTGTCAAATGTATTTAAAACATCAGTTGTGGATCATGTCAGTTAAATTTCTGTGGGCATCAAACTTGGCAGCAATGGCAACGGCTTGCAGTAGTCGATTTAAATGGCTGAAGATAGTGCGAAAGGGAGAGATGGCAGCGACGTGATCAGCATGTGGCACAACAGCCGGAACGACTGCAGTTACCGTGAGCAAGACCTTCCTTCTTCAAATACACCCATGCACAGATGGATGTCAGCCCTGCCATTTGTTCTTGAAGGTGACAGACCCCAAAGTCACTCAGATGAGGACTTAAGAGCTGTTCAATCAAATTAAATCATCTGACCTAGAAGCTGGGATCAGATAATAGTGCTTAATGAACGTATTAATTAAACTGCAAGCAGGTGCTCGGCAAGTCTCCACATTACCACTGTGAGTTGTGCCTTGCTGTTCTCTTATACTCTCTGGAATAATAATTTTCAAACACTACGTGCTCTCTGAATGCAAGCAGGTAAATCAATACCGTGGCCCTCTTGCATTTGGTAAATCTTAGGGATGCACATCCCCACCCCTGCCCCCCCACTTAAAACCAAAAGAGCATCCAAGGTACATAATGTCATTGCAACAGATCCATGGGATTTAAAAAAAAATACTGGTTAATCACCAAATAGAAATTAGACAGGTCTCACAGTTTTTCTGTCTTCATGAAATACTCTGAACAGTCTGCAAGGGATTATGCCTCCCTCTGAAATGATTACCACTAATTTTGTAGTTTTAAAGAACAAGGCAGCTTCAGTCTCATGTCTGATCAAGACATCATTGGTTGCAAGCAATAAATTAAAGCTTTAATCTGTTGTAAGTGGAAAAGCCAATTTTGGTCCTCTGAGGAATCTAATAATTGCCGAATGAAAAAACACAGAGGTTGCTTTCTCTTTATTGGAGAGCTGTGTGTCAGTAATGCGACTATGCGTGGACTTCAGTAGCACTTGAAGTCATCGGTAATTAGAGGCATAGACTCATCTGCCATACTGCAGTACTTCGAGGAACATTCAGAAAGAAAAATACACCTACGAAGCATATTGCTCCCCCCACCCCTTCTTTCTGCCAACGGCCTGGGAAAAGGTAATACTACTACAATGATGTAGAATGAGGTAATAGTACTGTAATTATACCACGACTTACTCGCAATAGACTCCCACTAGTGACCGTCAATGAAGAGGCATTAATTTGATCCACGTCTGCCAAATCATTAGGAAAAAACTGAATGGTGGTGGGTGCTGCTTTGCCCTTTACACAGAGAGGGGAAGAGGGAGGAAGATGCAAAAGTCACATTCACTACCCCACGTCGGCACTACCAGCACAACCACGGCCATGCACAGGGCAAGTCGGGCCTTTGAACCATTAAGAATCACAAGTTACTGCAGGAAAAAATGGCAAGGTCAAATCCTATTCATATAGCTCATCTGCGTAGTGTTGATTTGATACAGCATTCCTTATCTTCCGCTTTAAATGGATGCGTGGTGTTTCTGAACATTTAGTCTGCTGCTTCATGTCACTCAGTAAACCCTGAGCATCAGACCTCAGAACTCTGCAATGACAGAAGTTATATCTGTTATCCGTTAGACTGAACTTCTTTTTAAAGAACTGTACAGCTTCAGAGGTTCTTTTAGACTCTTCTTCCTATCTGATAGATCAGATTTTTTGTCCGTGGATTAGGAAATGCTGATGGCTTTCATGAGCAGAAACTGTCATTCTCCCAAGCTGTAAAAGCTAACTTGCAACACTCCAAAGAAAGAATTTGGTATGCAGGTTTATTTTTAAATGGATAGCGTAAACGATCCAAACTGCCCTTACCAGTTTGAAAAAGGAAAAAATATGCAGTTGATGAGTGCGTGAGCATGTCAAGAAGACAGCAGGCCTTTAATGAAAAAACGTGCGGGTAATACAAGGTGCCAACAGTGGTACGGCCAGCCACAGCTCCCCAGGCAGGGCGTGCTTTGCCTGCCCTGTTCGGAGCCGGGCTGCCAGATACGCTCCCACAAGGAGGCAGCTGGAAGCCGCTGAGGAGCGTGGGGGCAGAGAGGAGGAAGACAGTCCCGGCTTGCGGACATGGGACTGGTGTTTTGAAGCGCAGGATAGAAAGAGAGGTTAGATCCTAGTCTGAGGTAGGGAGAAGGGGATGGAGGCACGGCACAGCCTTAGTGGCACACACCACAACTGCAGCAGCTGCTGACTGCACCCACAACTGCTGCCGTCATCACAAGAGCCTGGGGTGCCATCAGCAAAAGTTCAGCAAATGTTGCTGCAGCCAACAATGGAAGATGAGAAGTATAAGAGAATGGCATAATTTTGAATTAATTAAAAAAACCCCAAACTTGTAAGAAAACTACTTAGGATCTTAATATTTGTTGTAAAATAAATACAGTGAGTGAAAAGATTAATAGCACTGTATTAATTTCAATTTCACCAACAAGGACTTATTCTTCTACATGCGCTGTCCTAAATTAAAAACAAAACCCAAGAAATCCAAGCTTCTGAAATGTGTTCAAACAACTTCTCGAAGTTTCTCCGTGTCTGTAAATAAATTTTATTCTATTTATCTCCAAAGCCATTTTCATAAATTAACAACAAACACTGAAGAGATCTTAAATTTATTAGGTATTTTTATTGCAACTTTTATAATAAACAAGATAAATGTGTACTTAGAAAAACTGGACCCAGTGTATCAGACAGTTAATTTTTTCATATTTATACTTTTAATATATTCAATATTTCTATAAATTCAGATATTTTTATTATGGAGTTTTACAAAAGTGTATCTGCTCGAAATCGCTATGCAATTTCCCAAAGCACTGTACCATCTACTGCAAGAAATTTTCACTGGCTTTCTACCACTGTTTTTAACATCCTTCATGGTAGGATTTTAACATGGTAGGTTCTTAACATCCTTCAACAAGTGTTCATGGTAGGAAACTCCCTGTCTGGAAGTATTTTGCATTTGATTAAAACCCTGTAAAGTTCACATAACTTTCCCCAGGCAACTCTGCCTCTTACAGACATGTAAGATTTCTAGCCTGCCTAAATTGTTTTGACTGCAATGTAACAGCCTCTTCAAATTTTGTATATCTATGACTTTATTATACAATCATGAAGTGGCAAGATCTATTATCTTTAAGGTGGTGTTTTAAAGTAATTTATTTCATCAGTCAATTTTTAGTCCATGTGACCACTTATATTGAAGTCGGTTGCATTCCTAATTAAAACATTCAGCAACTATGCTTATACAGGTAACACAGTCTTTAGATTTTCACTGATTGTGCAATATTACATACACAAACTTGACAGACACTTTAATTATGCATTTTACAACACAGAATTAACAGGTATTTAAAGCTTGCATATAGCTACAGTGTGTAAGGGGGTATCAGTCATACCATTTTGAATTTTAGCATAACAAAACAGTTACTCCACAGTGGGTTTTTGAGTATGAGAATCCTGTTTGCTCTTACAGTAGTTTCTGCAAAAAGCTCCACAACCCAGGTCCTGATAAACATTTATGCCTATAAATTATATCCATTACTGGAAGAATTTTAATACAGTAGGCAGTAATTATTTTCAATGCCTCTTAAAACTTGTACCAAAAAATATAAATTTTCCATAACATCAAAAAATATCTGAAAATGTTCTGTGATAAATCTAGAAAAAGAGGAATCCAGTCTTAAAAGTTAAATTCCGCTCTCACATACACAATTTAAATTGAGACCGATGCACGTATTCGTACAGCTGACAGAAGAATTTGACTCAAGTCTGCAAGATTAAAATGCAAGGTTATGAAAAGTGCGCAAACTCTTATTTCAGGAGTTTAACTTTGTCCTTTAAAACTTTAAATTTGGGATTGTTATTCACTTTCTTATTAAATAGGACCAGAATATCCTCTTCTGATTTGTGATGTTCACCAGCTACTGCATAATATTGAGCTATAACCTGCATAAAGACAGAGGAATGGTTTTGCATTAGTAAAGATGATTCCACTTTAAACAATAATGCACTCATGTTACTGTGTTCGAAGTAGCAAGGAATCTACTATGCTATGATTCCTTTGCAAAATTAGAACTCAATTTCTTCTGTAGTCTAGTAAGCAATAAAGAACCCATCCTTCAGCTGACATTCTGTCAACTGATATTCTGTTAAAATAATGTCAAACTTTTTTGCTTATGTGGGGCAGGATTTTATGAAGTTAAGCATTACAGAAATAAATTCACAAGACCAGAGGAGATTAAAAAAAAATGTGCTGTACAGTACCTTTTTTCTTAGTTTTTTAATTGAAATTTCATTGTCTGGAGCCTGTTTCAGAACAGCTTTGATGGTTCCCTTCCAGTTGAATTTACCTAGAAAATAATTAGGTGTACAACACCATTAGTAAAATTAGGTATTTCCAGGTCTTCTTCTCTAGTAGGAACCAGCCTTCAATCTCCTAATTTTGGAAACAGTTTAGCTACCACAACAGTTGTTATCTTACTGACCCTACAACCGCAGGGTGTCTTAAGCGTGAAGTCAGGTAGGCTGTTTCTGAAGATTATGATAGGACAGTGTCCTGGTTTCGGCTGGGATAGAGTTAATTTTCTTCATAGTAGCTAGCATAGTGCTGTGTTTTGGATTTAGTACCAGAAGAATGTTGATAACACACTGATGTTTTTAGTTGTTGCCAAGTAGTGCTCAGACTACTCAAGGACTTTTTGAGCTTCTCCTGCTCGGCCAGGTGCGTAACAAGCTGGGAGGGAGCACAGCTAGGACAGCTGACCCAAACTGACCAAAGAGCTATTCCATACCATATAGCGTCATGCTCGGAGCGGGGGGGCAGGGTTAGTCGGTCG